TTCTTGCATTTCACGCATGCGCAAAGCGCCTTGAGGCGACTGCTATGTAAATAAAATTGAATTGAATGCGTAGGACTGGAGCGTCGGCGTTTTCGGCCGTTTCAATGTGGACGCACAACTCTGAAAACGACTGAAAACGCTGGTGTGGACACGGAGCGTTTTCAAAGACTTGATATTGTTTTTTGTTTTGTTTGTGGTGTTGCAGAGGTCTGGTGATAACCATGGTGGTCAGTCTGCTCTTCATCTTGCTGCTGCGCTACACTGCTGGTGTGCTACTGTGGCTCGTCATCTTTGGTGTCATCGTTGCAGTGGGATACGGTGAGGATGCAGAAACACTTGTAGTCATGTGGCTTGCTGTGTATTTAGTCCAAGTGTAAAAAACAATGAAGTGAATGAACTGAAGAAGCTTCTCGGATGAGAGGTGAAACGTTTTCAAGCAACTTAAAGAGGTCCAGACGCTTTTCTTTCCAAGCTCCTTAGACTACGATGACCTGGATGACTGAGAACCTTCACAGACGTTGAAAGAAATTCTTTTACCTGAGCCTTTCCCACCAGTTGTGCTGGGAGCAGTCATGGCTAGTAGATCATCTTCACTCTTTCATTCTCTCTCAGGCATTTGGCACTGTTACTGGGAATACAGCAACCTGAGCAGGAAGCCAGGCTCCAATGTCACCATCACTGACCTTGGCTTCCACACAGACTTCAGCATTTATCTTCAGCAAAGCCAGACGTGGCTCATCTTCAGTAAGTTGTCATCCACTAGCAAAGCAGCACTTACTGTAACGCTGGTTTCTGCTTTACGTGCACGGCAGTTTCCTGGTTGTATGTATTACTGCTGTTAATTCCTCACAAACCAAACAGAAATTGTGACATTGTTTGTCTTGGTGAGCTTTTCAAAACTGTGATTATAGCAAATATTTTTGATTTAGATGCTTGCACTGGGACTGTTTCAATCTTTTATGCGTGTAATCCCAACCTTTGCTGTTGTGTCAGGTTGGTATGTTGTTCTGTACTTACAGACATCCTGTTCTTGTGGAAAGGAAGTCTCTTGACCTCCTTGTGGGAATTTATTTAAATTTGGCACAGATGTCCGTTTGAACTCGTTTGAACTGATTAGATTTGGATGATCAAAGGTCAAGGTCACTCACTGTCAGCACCCAGAGGGAACTGCTTTACATCTGGCACAAACTGACTTGGACTCACAGATGACCTGATCAGAAATTAGTATTCAAGGCCGCTGTGATCTAACCAGCGCTTTTTAGCCATGACTCGTGCTCATTTTGAGCGAGCACTTTCTGAATATCTAAAAGCATATTTGTTACGCTGCTGTTGACTCGACCTTTATTTTGCAGTGATCTTGCTCTCTGTGACTGAAGCCGTCATTGTGATAATGCTGATATTTCTGAGGTCAAGGCTGCGCATCGCTATTGCATTACTGAAGGAGGGAAGCAAGTGAGTATGGATCCTGCTTCTGATAATTAAACAGTGCGTTTTGCTCTTTTTCATGAATTTAATGTTTTTCTTGGGGGTTTTTCAGGGCAATCGGCTACATCATGTCCACCCTCTTCTACCCTGTCATCACCTTTTTCCTTCTGGCCATCTGCATCGCTTATTGGGCTGTCACAGCAGTGTATCCTTCCAAATACTGACAAACTGAAGCAGAGTTTCATGTAGAGAATTAAAGGAGTTGAGCTGCCTTGAAGCAATCTGTTTTTTACTACAGACGAATTGCAGCATGTTAATTAGAATCATCCACAGGATAATGTGTAACATCACTAAAGCTGTTAGATTAAACAGGTTAAATTCAGGTTTTTTGATGTTGTGCCACAGCATAATTTATCTCAGGACACTTGAAATAGTAAAGTAAAGACTACAGTATTAGAGAGAAAGCTAGTAGTTCCCTTTGAGCGTGCATTCAGCAACAGTGGAGAGGAAAAAGTCTTCTAGAACCAGGCACAGGTAAGTCAGACCTCTGCATGGATTGGTTGTTGCATATGCTCACAGGTGACTTTGCTAGGTACACCTTGTTATCACAAGGTTGGACTCTCTGTTACTTTCATAACTGCCTCAGTTCTTAATGGCATCAACAAGGTGCTGAAAATATTCATTTTGGTCCATGTTGTCCCGACAGCATTACACAGTTGTTGCGCATTTGTCGGCTGCACGTCTAGGATGCAAAGGTCCCGTTCTACCACGTCCCACGGGTGCTGTGTTGGATAGATCTGGTAACCGTGGAGGCTGTTTGAGTATAGTGAACTCATTGTCATGTTCAGGAAACTAATTTGAGATTATTTTTTGATATGATGATGGAAGTGGTTGTTGCTAAACAGCCGAAAGTATCCTCCACACGATTACACCACCATCACCATCCTGAACCAGTGAATTAAGGCAAGAACGTCCATGCCATCATTCATATTGTTTATGCTAAATTCTGACTGTACCATCCAATTTTCCCAGCTGAAACTCATCAGACCAGGGAACATTTTTTAATCTTCTGTTGTCCAATTTTGGTGAACTTATGCTGCATCAGTGTTTTTTAGCTTACAGGAGTAGCGTCTGTTTTGGCCGTCTGTTTCAAGTTTCGATATCTTGTGCGTTCAGAGATGCTGATCTGCGTACCTTGATAAGAATGATTGTGGTTGTTTATGTTACTCTTCCCTTCCTATCAGATCGAAGCAGTCTGGCCTTTCTCCTAAGACCTTTGACATCAGCATTTTCACCCAGAGATTTTCAGCACTTAGTTGCTTCTTTGTGATTTGCTGATTAGATATTTGTGTGAACAATCAGTCGAACAGGTGTACCTAATGAAATGGCCCGTGAGTCTGTAACAAGTAAGTGAAGCAGTCAAGGAAGTCCAACTGCATGTTCTTTAACTCACTGATTCTTGAGTGTTGAATTTTTCCTTTAACTAGTTTACCCTCAGCTTCTTAGCATCATCGGGTAACGCAGTCTACAAGGTCACACCTGCTGATGATAAATGCATGTATGCAAACCTCACATGCAATCCACAGGTTAGCCCTATGCTCCCTTACAGTTTATTACTGAAAATGTTTAGTTACCGTGTAATTTCTCCATCACTTGGCATGAAAAACATCTCTTGATCGGATTCGTTCTCAGCAGTAAAGTGTAATTAGTCAAATTAGGTGTAATAGCTGCTTTATGTCTAATTAATAAAATGTCTTAATGTAAATACATTAGATGTTCCGATGTAAATCGAGTTCAATTAGTGGCTGGCAGCAACAAACATTTATCTGACAGATGTTATTTATCAGCCAACAAGTAATTTGAGCATGTAAACAGATGAATATTCACGGATTCCCTTAAAGCTATTCATGTGGAAATAATTTATATTCAAGGTAGAGGCAGGAAAGACAAGAAGAGAAAAGTATCTTGATTATGGTGACAAACAGAATCCTGTTATTTCTATCTGACAGCGCATCAAGATCTAATCTGCTGCTTTATTTCAGACCTTCAGTAAGACCAACATTACCAAGGTGTGCCCCGGGTCACAGTGTATGTTCGCCTTCTACGGTGGGGAGAGTCTGTACCATCGCTACATCTTAGTTTTCCATCTGTGTAACCTCTTTGTGTTCCTCTGGCTGGTCAACTTTACCATCGCCCTGGGCCAGTGCACCCTGGCCGGGGCCTTCGCTTCCTACTACTGGGCCCTGAAGAAGCCAAAAGACATCCCTGCCTGCCCCCTCTACTCCTCCTTTAGCAGAGCTATACGGTGAGTACAGTCCCAAAACAAGCGCAAATCCACTAAGACGCTGAAACGTGAAAGTAAGAACGTGAGGAAAATGATTTCATTTAATATTCTCCATTCTTGTGGCACAGTTATCACACAGGTTCTCTGGCCTTTGGGTCGCTAATCCTTTCTGTGGTGCAGATGATCCGAATTGTTCTCGAGTACCTGGATCACAAACTGAAAGGCAAGCTTGGAAACCCTTCGAGGCCTCTTACTAATTTATTACTGATTGTTTCAAATGACTTTTTGTTGATGATATTTATTTATATTCCTGATTTTTATCCAGTTTCTCAAAATGCCTGCGCTCGATTCTTGCTCTGCTGCCTCAAATGCTGCTTCTGGTGCCTGGAACATTTTATCAAGTTTCTAAACAGAAACGCATTCATTATGGTGAGTAATTTCTAGTAGCACTCATTTATTGCAGACATCTGTTAGCAGCTGTTAATTGGTCCAGCTTCGGTGCTTAACTACCCGCAACCCAGCACTCACTGCTTCTCACCAACAGATGGCAATATATGGGAAGAACTTCTGCACCTCCTCCAAGGACGCTTTCTTCCTCTTAATGAGGAATGTTGTTCGGTAAGTCCCAGTTAAATGTTTTAGAGCCACATGGCTAAAAAAACCCTCAGCAGAGTACAGATGCTGCTGAGGTGGTAAAGCTAAAGCTTCTTCTTTACCATAAAAAATGCCAGAACGTAACAGATACGGGCAAAAAAACAAAGAAGTATATTTACTGTCATCATGTTTGTGAAATAATGGGGCAGTTTCAGTTGACGTAATGCACGGGAGTTTGTATCTCTGCTGTTTGTGTTTCTCTTCTACCTCAACTTGAGGTTGGCTGTAACTCAGGAGGTAGAGCAGGTCATCTAATTGGAAGGTTGGTAGTTCGATCCCTGGCTGCTCCCGTGTGCATGCCAAATATCCTTGGGCAAGATACAAGTTGCTCTCTGATGTGTCCATTGGAGTATGAATGTAAATGTTGGGTGAATGAGGGTGCTCAGCTGGAGGTGAGAGGCACTATAATAGGAACCAGTCCATTTACTCACGTTGTCTTCCTCCCGGCAGGGTGGCCGTCCTGGACAAGGTGACCGACTTTCTGCTGTTCTTGGGAAAACTGCTTATTTCAGGAAGTGTTGGTGAGTTTATCTTTTATTTGGATGCATGCAATAAGCTCTTTATTTACTTATTTAATTTGCATCATTATAAGTTGACACTTGCATCCCAGTAAGTGGCTGACATGAATTTGGAGGACCTTGATTTTACTTCATTTTATAAGAGCTTATATATTAAACGTAAACCTTGATTCTAGAAGTTACTCTAATTTATACTTGCAGTGTTTGAAAGGACTTATTGCGTGGCCTAACCACTTGTTTTGTTTCAGCAGCTTTTTATATCTGCAGGTCCTTTATTGTAAACCTTCAGTGTATCATGAGACCCTTGTTTCAAGTTCCACCCACTCGTGTTTAATCTGCTTTAAAGCCGATGAGGATTTGACCGTTTTTGTTTATTTCAAATGATGTAAGAAAATATATATTTGCTTGTTACTCAATCAGATTTTTTTTTTCAGGCATTCTTGCATTTTTCTTCTTCTCGCGTAAAATACCAGTTTTTCAAGAGGAGGTGCCATCACTAAATTACATTTGGGTCCCTCTATTGGTAAGGAATTAAAAATCTACAATGAGAATATGATTATACTGTGATGAATATAGTTAGTATTTGGACAATGACAGACTTTTTCTGTCAAAAAATCAAACAATCAATATGTGATTGAAATGTAAAGTTTTACCTTTATTCATGGGGTTTAACAAAAATGTGTTTGTTGTTTGTTTTATCTTTAGGACTTATTTAGGTACATAGTACCCAATTTTCAGAGGCTCACAAGTAATTCAACTACTTACTAGCAGGCAGTTTAATGGCCTCAGTAACCCTGGATCATATAGAAATAAATCTATCAGAGTTCACTGCTGGCAGAATTATTTCCATGGTTGAAAAAAACAGCAACAATGTTATTAACTAGGGGTGCAACGATATTCGTATCGATATTGAACCGTTCGATACAGTGCTTTTATGTTCGGTACGCATATGTATCGAACAATACAAAATGTTTAATTTATTTGATCAACTTTCCTTCTGACGATGCTGTCTGTGTTGAGAGCTCAGTGGATCTGCGCTCGACTACTCCGCCTAGGCTGCACTGTCTAGCGCAGATCCACTGAGCAAGCTAGCAAGACAGGAGCTAAGCTCGTTGCAACATGGCAAATTGAACCTCCCCCACCCTCATTCAGATCTGGCGTTTGGAACTATTTTGGTTTTCATGTGACGTATGAGCCTGAAGGTAAGCGCGTCATGGACTAAAGTAAAACAGTATGTCGGATGTGCCACGCAATGCTCAATTACATTGGTGGGAGCTAGTGTGTTAGCGCAGTTTTCTCGTTAACGTGTTGACGCTGGACAGCAGCTCGTTAACGGAGATTTGCCGTGTTGTGGCGTTAACGTCATTTCAATGAGATTAATGCTGACAGCACTAGTGGGAACACAACGAATATGACTGCACGTTTACTCCGACATCATCCTCATGCAAAGACAAGTGGAAGCAGACAAAAACAACAAGCACGCATGCTACAAACTTTACCCGAGTCATTTAGACAGCCGTTAGCACAGGATTCTCCTTATGGGGACCTGATATGTTTAATATGCTGCTGAGAATATAGCCCAGAAGAAGCGTATAGTAGAGCTTTTATTTTGAAAGAGCCATTTCTCTGTAATAAACTCTCTTTTCCAAAGATGAGTGATTTCTCCATCAGATAATTTATTATTTTATCCCTTTGTTGTTTCAGCAACATTAAATTTAAAAACTGTACGTTTGAGTTAAAATATATATTTATAATTTTAATGAATGACAAATTAAAAAGGCATGAACATTTTTTTGTATCAAAAAAATATCGAACCGTGAATTTTGTGTATCGTTGCACCCCTACTATTACCATATAAAGCTATGTTAGTTTGTCTAGTTTAAAGTGAAAATGAGTGACTACTATAAAAATAATGTTAAAGCTGAAAGTCTGTACTTTGGTCACATCGTGATTATTTGATTTAAAATTCTCTTTACAGAGGCACAGTCACGAAACATATATTTATTCTGACTTGGTCTTTTACACAGAGCACAAAAAAAAGATGCAGTCTATATTCTTTGTTGTACTTTGTTTCCTTGGTACGGTGGAAAAATCACTTCTTATGTTCAGACTCAACCAGTGCTTCTAAGCAGCGCTCCTCTACTTGTGTTTTGTTTAAATATAGTCGAACCATTATTTTGGCAAATATTCAATAATAAATATTTAACTCTTGGTAATTACATATTTATTCAGAGTTGTTCTGGAAAGCTTCACAGCTTTACACAGTTGCAGTTTTTACAGTGCTGCACAAGCTAATTAATTTGCTCCAGGATTTATGACTCAGCGATTTATATTCTTCATAATGTTTTTGCCGTTTGTTGCAATGCAGAATGCACAATAAAGCTGGAACACAAGACTACAGTTAAAAGTGTAAGACTTTCACCTGTTAACTCTTTCAGACGGTGATATTTGGATCCTACATGATCGCACATGGCTTTTTTAACGTCTATGCTATGTGTGTGGACACATTGTTCCTGTGCTTTTGTGAGTATGCTGTTTCATGTTTAGTTACGGTGCAGACGCACTCCTGCTGTGGTCAAAAATCGAATGTCAGCAGCTTTGTGTGACTCTTTCTTCCTTTTAATAACTTGAAATAATCGCTGTCTTGCATATCTTCTTGTTTATCATCTCTGCTGAGTCTCTGCTTTCCTTTCTCTTTGTGGCTGCCGCTCTGTGTGCTGTTTGCTCGTCCTGCTCCTCCTGTTCCTTTGCGGGGACCTGGCCTCAGGTGAAGACCTGGAGAGGAATGACGGTTCTTCCTCCAGGCCCTACTACATGTCTCCTGGCCTGCACAAGATCCTGCGCAAAGGAGAGGAGGGTGCCAAAACTTGCGCTGCTTCCTGAGTGATGCATTTTACTAAACTCTTGGCTCTCTGACTCGCTTCTCCATATCTGCCGTGTGCGTGGGGGTCTGGACGCTCGAGAGCAAGTACTGTAGGGCTAAACATTGAAACTGGATGCACCCCGCCCAGCCTGTCAGGGATGACCTGTGCATGAAAGGACATGCTGTTACTTCGGGTCCTCGCAGAAAAGGCATAGGGGACTAAGATAACTGTTCACTTCCTCTCTCGAGCCAACTCAGATACTTGCCTTTTTTCTGCTACACTTTTGTGTTTCTTTGTCATTTTCTCGTCTGTATTCTCTGCTGACCTCTGCCTTACCGAGAGGGTACACGTCAACTCGCAGGATGGATGCACAGGCTGAAAACTAAACACGAGACAAGCTTTTCTTTCTTTTTTTTTAACCCAAACAAACACGAGGACCGTAAACAATGTACAGATGCCACTTTGACATAAGGCATCACCACGGAAAAAGTGGTGGACTTATGGGGCACCCTCTTGTCGCACTTTGGTCTTCTAATGTAAAATCATGTTTTGTATGCACTTTCACATACAGGAAACGAACCATGTGATTTCTTTCTTCTGTGTAGCATGATTACTTTGCTGGCTGTTGGTGTTTACCATTGGTTTTATAACCACTATATTTATACTAACACAAGCACACAGATCCAAAAATGGTGTGAACTCTGCACTTAGCAAAACAGGTTTCTCTCATGTTAAATCAGCGTCACATTAAAGTTTTCATTATGCTCATAGATGTACTGTAAACCAGACAGAGGCTTTGTTGGAGGTCAAGACTTCAAAAGACATTTAATGGTTTATGCTTAAAGAAAAAAGATGTGAACCGAGCCTGAGCGTTTTCAGGAAACTTTTGAATGCAGCCACTAGTTTATGTGCCTAGATGTGAAAAAAATAAATAAAAAAATGTTCCTCTTATTCTGTTTTAGACCTAACACCAGGAACCTTTGCGATACAGTTTATAAAAGGATGTCAAAGCCATTTTTGGTAAATTTTTTTATTGGATGGTTCAGATGTTGTGCTGTTTTAATACTAAGTATAATACACACATCTGTCTGGAGGTTATTCAGTGTTCTTTTTGTATAGGAGAATTTTTTTATCAATGAATCCAATGAAAATGTGAATCTTTGTTTTCGAATAAACATAAATGGTTGAACTACTGACCCGTGCATTTCCAGAGGCGTTCATTTTTTACAATCGAGGTGATCACAGGTTAAATTTTGATGTGCTGCATGATTCTCTCGCCATTGGTTTTTAACATGCTGCTGCTGCCTCGTAGTGTGGGACCTGGAGGTGAACGACGGCGCTCCAGCCCGGCCCTACCGCATGAGCAAAACGCTGAGGAAGATCCTCCACAAGAAGAACAGAAGGAAGTAGCAGGAAGGAGAAAGAATAAAGGTTAACACCAAAGCATGGTACAAGCCCACGTGGCATATGGGAATAAACACTTTGCCATATTTAATGGAAGTGTACACAAGTTGAAGCTGTACACTATAAGAGACAACTTGTAGCTAAGCAACATGAATAATTAGATTCACCCACACATAGTAATTTATGGACTCAGTGATAGCTATGAATATTTTTATATGTGTCTATGTAAAGGAAATGTGTGTATTTGTGTACATTTTACTGCCACATACTACACAACAATGCAACAGATTTGTTTTGTGTGCGTCCCAGCTTTGGGATCATGTAGTTGCCAATTTTCACCACTTGGTGGTGCCAGTCGTTACCAGATGACCTGTACACTGTACCTGAGTTCCTCACATTGAGAAAAATATTCACCACTCATTGCTCACTGTTTTTATGTTTAATTGCCAAGTACATGATGGCACAGCAGTTCAGATTACTTCAGTCTCAAGTGTGTTTTGCTTTGAGTTTCTGAATATTGAAGTATACGTGCTTTGGACATCTTTATCAACATTCTTAAAGGGATATTTAACAGCAAGAGATGTCTAACAGGTCTGGTTTATTAGCTGTGGGGGAAGCAGAATGACATTATGTGTTTGTGTGCAGCAGAAAATGCAGAACCTCCGAATTCTGCATGTGTTTTGATGAGGGCTTGTGTATCAGTGACAATGCACTGAAACCAGTGACAGGTATAAAAGTGTTAAAGTGATCATCTTTGAAAGTTACCTCATTAATGTTAGAGTCCATTCTTACTGGATTTAAAGGCTTCCATCACAGGACGATGACGGCGGTCCCTTTGAATAGACGTCACCGACGGCCTTAAGTGGTTGTGGATTTCCAAAATAATCCGAGTGCCCTTGGACGCTTCCTGTAACCACGCCTACAGTTAGGGCTGTCATGGTATCGTGTTTTCACTGCATGGTTATCGTGGTCAGACTAATCCAAATAAAGATAAAAATCATCATCTCTGTACAGACCATTGAAAAGCAAATAATGCTGTCAGTTTAAGTCGTCTTTAATATTGTGGTTTTTGTGTGTTTTGTTCCTATTTTTATGACACTAACCACCAGTCCAGGAGGTGGAAAGAGAGCCTGTACCCACAACTGTGCAAATGGAAATATAAATTAATTGATAGTGAAAATACAACAGCAAATCCACAAGGCTTAATGTCCGAGTTTTAACTCATTGCTGGATTATTTGTGATATAATCATGTGTATTATTGAAACAGTATCGATATGTATTTTTTAATATATGATGGCTTTTGTCGGTAATGATGCCTCACACAACCCCTGCTTCTCTACTGACCATTTTTATCTTTGATAAGTTTAAGAAACATATAATTAGGTCCCATTATGTGGCAAACGTGTGCATGTAACACGACTGTGGGGCAGAACCAAACCAACAGTAGAGGAGCTGCTTTAAAGATGCTGGATTGGTTTTAATAAGTCTTTTAAGTTCACACTAAGAATATTTGAGTCTTGTGTTAATAACCTTAAACAATAACAAAGTTTGTTATTGGAGTAACAGTGTTAAGTGTTTTTGCTACTATGTGTCCTGTTCTTGCATGGTTGTTTGTAACACTAGTGAGTCGCTCGTGTCAAAGCTGCCGTTGGATGGATTTATTAGGTTGATGAGCCACAGATGAAGCTGATTCCTGTCTGGGAAGAAAAAGATTTAGAGGATTTTGGGAGATCAGTTTGTGGTTTCAAATTTCCCTCAGGCATCGACGTTGGCGAGAGCGGCTCTGTGTGTCAGCCCTGTGATGGACTGGCGACCTGCCCAGGGTGTGCACCACCTCCCTCACACCTTGTGTTTTACTGCCATCAACCTTTTACTAGCTTGTGCTTTTTTCAGAGTAGATTCACGCACCGCTTAGAAAGATGTTCTTTAGATCTTTCAGACGTGACTCATGTTTGTGTCTCTGCGGCGTGCTTGTCAAAGCTGAGAACCTGCCCTCATGGTGCCTCTGAGTGACAACACTGCCAGGCTGCCTCACACACCTCCCGCCCCTGTTTGAGCTGAGCATGCTGGGACATGTAACATTCAAAAAAAAAAGGAAAAAAGAAAAACAACTCCTTGTGTATCTGAAAGAAAGAAGAGAAATGATGCATGTAGAGCACAGTGGGGCGTATTACGCATGCAGCAGGTTGTTTTCTTTGGTCTTTTTCTTCTTCTTTCTTTTCTCCACACAAAATAACTACCGTACTCCCATCGGAGTTCGATATCTTTTTGTGTATGTAACTCAGGTTCAGTTTCACTCCAGGTAGTGTGACTTCGTAAGATCTGATAAGTGAAGTAAAAGTGTTTTTATATGCCTTCTCCTCCCTCCTGTGTCTGGAAATTGGATTCTTTTGGTCAACCACAGTCAGCAAGTAGACACAAGTTAAACGTCGCTCTCGGTATAACGCGAGACAGTTTTCTAACCACAAGCTCTTAAAAGTCAAACTCTGAAGATGCTCGAACCTGTCGTAAACAGAAACACTTCAGTTCTATCTGTATGTCTGTAATTAAAAGTTTCAGGTGTTTGTGTCTAATCAACACATGTTGCCTGTGTGTAAGTTTGACATACAGATATTGTTGTGTTTTAATAATGTTTGCTTTCATCAATGAATCGTTTTTTCTATTTCCTAATTTGTAAACATGCCGAGCCGTGAACGCAGCACGGCCTCAGCTCTCGTGTGTCAAAGCTTTTCAACGACTCCTCCCGGGTTTGTGAAATTAGACATTTATTCTCAAAAGAGACGACACATACAATAAATTAAATTGCAACACTGCTATTCAGTTCATCTTCATGTGGAGTCGACTTTTGTGGGGCTGGTGGCTTTCACTAAGAGTAGCACAATCAGACTTTGTCACCAACAAACAGACAACAAACAAATATAAATATATGACGTCGTGTGTGACGTGCACCGAAGCGTTGCCATGATACATCAGTACATTTAGGGCTGTAAATTATAATGATCCAGAATTTGCTTAACAAACAATATTACGGCAGATTTTATGGTTCACAAAAACTTTAAATTATATTTATCACACGTATCAGATACTGCTGCTAATAATGGAAAAACATTGGTCAGCTGTGTGTGAGTGTAAGGGAGAGAGGGCAGCTCAGGCGTTAGACACAGGCAGCGAGGTCATGGCGTGGGCTGGCAGCAGCGGTTGAAACAAGGATGGAGGCGAGTGTACTGCAGACACAGAGCAGAGTGAGAATATTGATCCAGGTCAGTTTTCCACAAATTGTATTCAAATATGTAACAGACGACAGCACAGTTATGTATTTGCATTGTGATTTGATTGGATGTTTCCTCGTTGCGCTCCTGACAGGGTCAAATATTACATCTCCACAAGGTTTCGAACAGCTGCTCCCTGATTTTCTCATCACAGCGGACGGAGCTGCACATTTGCTTTGTCACAGATTTTATGCCAAATGCCCTTCTGGATGCAACTTCCCCACTTATCCAGATCTGGGACCCTAACCCCCCCTCCTACACACACAGACACACACACACACACCCCTCCCTGGCTGGGTTTGTGTCTCCTCCTACTATCAAACAGGGAGGGTGAAATGCTACACCAAAGGCAACAACAACAAAAAACATTATAAGGTTGATTATCTGCTATCTGACGACAAAACTTCCCAATCTCATCGTGTGCGGCGTGGCTGCCAGATCATTTTTTATTACCTGCGTCATTTCATTTGTCATCCTATAGTCTAGTCACGTCATCTACCACTCCTCTAACTTTGATGTTATTTTACTGAGACAAAATCTTAAGCAGGATAAAGTTTTTCTTTCTTCGTCTGGATTTATTCTAGTCGTTTCTACTGATTGTCTAGTTTTCTGGGTCAAAGTAAAGCAGGAGATGGAATAAAATGCTGGTTGTAATATTTAAAGTTCTTGGATTTAAAATCATCTTTATTTCAGAATAATTGTGTTTGGAATTTAAGATATTTGTCCATTTATCCTAAATGCAAATGTTCAATGGGGGCAATTAAAATAAAATAAATATATATCGTTTAGAAATAAGAGAATAAAAAATTCTATTTAATTTTATTACAGTCATGGAAATGTATAAAAAGTCTCGTGCTCACTGTCTATGAAGGAGTGGAGTGCTGAGAGCATCGACCCCTCTGGACCTCCGTAGGCGGTGTATTGCAGCTCCTCGGGGGTCGGGGTGGGCTGGGACAGGTGGCTGGGCTGCAGTGAGGTCATGGGGGTGCTGGAGGTGTGGTTGGGGCTCACGTGCTTCTTGTGGCGTGCTCGACAGTTCTGGAACCAGACCTGAGTTAACGGGACAAGCGCCTTTAGCAGGACTGCATTTGAAAGTCCAAGATAGAAGCGCGTCACTGTTTTAGCTCATGTTTTATCAGCCAAAACAGATGATTTTTTACAGAGTTACAGTCAAGCAGTCATTTTGTCCTGTGAGTAAAGCCACTGTCACTGTCTTGTAGTTTTTGGACAGTCAGCAACAGTCAGAACAGATAAAGGTGTCTTATCGAAAAAGGGTGAAACTCTAGAAGCTGCATTACAAATCTGCTTAAAGTATCTCAGGCTTCAGTTAAAGCTTCAGAAAGCATTTTTGTCTTTACAGGTTGAACTGTTTGGTTATTTAGGAGTTTGTTTGGGAACATACGTCGTCCGGATAGTGCAGTAATTACACACAATATACATTATACACACCACATGATATATATTGAAATCCAATAAGAACAAATGTCATAACAGATGATATATCCATCATCCGTTTTGTCTTCATGCACCGATCTTTACTGACCTGAATGACTCTTCGACTGAGGCCTGTCTGCTCTGCTAGTTTCTGCAGTGTTTGGGCGTCTGGGTTGTTGTCCTGAGCAAACTGAGCCTGCATCACCTGCATGTGCACAAAGTAACACAAAGGTTTACTATGTGGTCCCGTGGGAAGGAAATCCATGATTCATCTGAACATGAGTAACTGTGAGGAGATCTGAGAGCTGCCTTTTAAAGTCTGCCAGAGAGGGTTTAATTCACACAGACGGATAATTCTAATAAAATCATGGAACATATAAGCATTTTGGGATATTCTGCATAAATCTAAACCATTTATTACATTTTAATTCAATAACAAAACTACAATGGGAATTGCTGAAATAATGTGCATTATAAATATTATTATTGCGAAGAGAAGACAAACTGCACATGGTCCAATTTAAAAAAACAGATTTCTTTTTTTTTTCTTCTCTAGTAATTCTGTCCTCTGTGTCATTCAGACTAAATGTATTAAATATCTTGTATCATGTCATCTCTGATGTCAGACACAATGACGCATCTTATCCACCTGTGAAAATAACATCAGGACATTTTTTCCTCTTGAATCCTTTGATATTTTTATTTTTGACACATAGAAGTGAATTTCCACAATTTAAAAAGTATATGTATACTATGTAAAAAATAAAAAAAAAGAAAAAGAATTTTTGAAAGAATTCCAAAAAAATAATTTAAGGGCCAGAAATTCAGCGTTTGTTTGTTTTCTTTTTTATACATTAATTAATTTTTTACCTAAACACAATCTACTTATTTTGTCTTTGTTTTTTCTTATGTGATGAATGAAGAAGAGGAGGAGGAGGAGTTGAACCTGCAGCTGGTCAGCAGTGAAGCTGGTCCGAGCTCTCTTGGAGGGTTTGGGCTGGTTGATCTCCTGTTCGGTGGGCACAGCTCCTTCCATGTTAACGCTGTTTCCTGCAGCCAAATATATTAATATGTTAAAATGAGACATGATACCGTTTCCGGTGGCTTCATTGATGATTCATAAATTTCAAACCGATATTTCAAAAACAGAGAGAGCAAATTATTCGCGGTCATTTTGGTGGGGTGAGACTTCGGCCTCACCCTTTTCCACCGCCCGCTTGAGGTTGTCCAACATGCAGTCGTAGTGAACCCTGCAAAGCACTTTTCCCTCCACCAGGGCGAACTCCTCCCCGGTGGACAGCTGCCTCTTGCAGGAGAAACAGGCGAAGCAGGCCAGATGATAGACGTTGCCCTTCGCCCGGCGGACCCAGTCTGTGGAGTGGATGTTCCGCCCGCAGCACGCGCACCAAGTGCCGTATCTCCTGCAGGTGAAGGTCAAAGGAGACAGCCTGATGGTATTTAAAGGATAATAACAGTTTAAATTCCTATAATGATTCCTGCTATTTATGCGTGTAGTTGCACAAAATAATGACCTCACAGTCTAAACAACAACAGGAACGGTGAAAAAACCCACCTGACGTCGACTTAGGCCCCGGTACATGAAATATAAGATGGGCCTTTGCCCTGGACCTGGCAACCAATTTGTTCCAATTATCCAAACATACGGAATAAAATCCTCTAAGTCGTTTTATTAATTTTTATTTATGTCACTATGAAGTTCGTCGACTCACAGAAATTAATGTAAGAAATAATAATGCATTTATTGGTCATTTATTAGTTTTATATACATGATATTTGAATAAAATCGGAAACAAATCTCAGGTCCGACTACAGTGTATATTATTATTATTGTTACAATGAAAGCACAGTAATAAAAGTTTAATGAAACAGGACTCAGTGTTCGATATATCTAATTTCTCAAATGCATTACTTGTAGTATTTTTTTTAACAGATCGGATTTCATGGGTATTTCCTTTAACGAAAACAGACCCAAACTTATGTTATCGTTGAATCTGCGCTGATAAGCATCTTCAGCAGGGCGATATACTCACCGAAAGTAATCCAGTTTGCAGAAAACCTCTTTTTCTTTGATGTAGCAACTTGTGTGGCTGCCAAGTGAAGTCTGGCACACGCTGCAGGAGAGACAGCGCACATGCCAGCACAAGTCGTTAACCTAAAGCAAAAATATGATGATTTGGCAAAAGTCACTCGGTGAATAAAAGAAGAAAGGAGGGGAAAGAAAAGCAGTTTAGAGCCAAACAGCAGAGGGGAGAAAAAATGTATTCTAGTGTTAAATACGCAGGAAAAACAATGCATGCAAAATAAATAAATAAATAAAATAAAAATACAAAATGACAGGATTTACCTTTAATAGATATTTATCAACTATTTCCTCGTTGCAGCTCGCACACACAGTTCTGCCCAACAGAGGCGCAGAGGACATCGCCTGCAGGGACGACGCTTCTTCATCCAAAACTTCCACCGGTGCGCCCTGAGGAGATCAGACCTGCGGTTAGAAAATTACGCACAGGAACGCATCCACTCCTAACCTGCAGTACAGCATGAGCTGGTACGCACTGTCACCACCAATAAACAACGTGATTGATAGTCTGAAAAACAACCACAAGAAACTGTCTCTTAAAAATTTACCATTTTTCCCGAATTTCTGTATTTATTTGTTTTAACTGTTAAATCTCGGTCCAGTCACGCCTATCCTTGTCTCCTGGCCACCTGCTGAGTTAGTAATTAAAGTAAAAGGAAAAAACATAAAGAAAAACACTGAAAGCAAAGTTAAGAAGCTCAAAATAGCGAAATCACACTACAGAATAAAAAAGGTAAAGCCATAAGGGTCACAGTTTGACCAACGCGAGAACAAAAAGCTTTAAAGTCCAAATCCAAAAAGAAAAAGTCAAAAAGATAGAAAAGTCTGAACAAAGAATAAAGTGCCTTTATTCCTTTTAGATGCCAATTAGTGACAAATCCATGAGAAATACATGTCATCTTTCACTAAAAGTTGTCATTTTGTCTGTCCACAGACACAAAAAACAAAATATAATAAATAAAACAACTTTAAAAATTAAAAACAACGTGCTCGTTTTTGAGAATAAACCAAATTGTGGCTGCACCGTTTCCTTCCCGCCTACCATTATGTCTCTCCTGTCTTCAGTGCATTTGCCCAGCAGCTCTTCGTCTCCTTTGCAATCTTCACACATGACGAGAAGCTACGGCGAGAAGAGGATGCTGGTTTGTCAGACTGTCGCAGCTGCCTTAAATGCCCCCTGCTCCTTCCCATAAATATCATGCCTTTCACTTTTCACCATGACAACGCCGGCGATTAAACCAAAATGACATTTAAAGAAGAGAAGGATAGTCATTACTTACAAAAACAGACAACACTTGAACTAATACTCATCCCGTGTCCATTATGTTCTTGAGCTCTGAATTTGTGATTCAGCCGCTGCTCGCGGGCGGGCGGGCGCGCGCGCGTGCGCGAGCTGCGGTTAAACCAACCAACACGCCAATTTCACGCGTCAATCAGAAAAGCAGCGCGAGGTCTGAAGGAAAAGGGGATTGATTTATTTAATAACAGCAATTAAAAAGGCTAAGTTCGCCACAAACGTCTACCCGGGCAACCAAAAGGTGAAGAGGTCTCATTAACTACTTGAGTTTTAATTGCAGAATTCAGGGAGGGCTCATTTTCTTTGACATTTCTTCAAATTGTAAAAATACTGAGCCGCAGCGTGTGAAGGCCGGCTTTAATGACAGACCGAAGCCCACTCTCATTTAATTGGCAAAGCAATTTCGACTAATATTTAATCTCTGATACTGACTCACGGCTCAACCTGCTGATCGCGAGTGTACAAGCTACACGCCCGCCCTTCACTCACCTCGTCGTTGGACACCAGAGATCCGTTTTCCTTCTCCTTACCGATGCGACACTCTACTTTTACCTCACTTTTCCAGCGCATGTCTGCGTCCAGCCTGGAAAAGTCGTCCCACTTTCAAAGCGAAGGAAACAAAAAATAAAAAAAATCGAACCGCTATCCTTTCCTTCTCCTCCAGGGTTCCTGTGCTTGTGTCAGTCAGTCTGCCCCGAGCTGTTTCCAGAGGGCGTTTCATAACTCCTACTTTCTCCTCGGTGTTGGTCGCGCCTCCCCTTTGGAAATAAGCTTTTGCGGATGAATGCAACTTTTGAGAGGAGCAAAAGTCTGGCGCAGTGAGATTGTTATAGATATTTTTCAAATGAGCGCTTGATTGAAAAAATCCGCATGTTTAAGTTTTACTTCATGATTTCTTTGAATGATATGCAAGTGGTTCAAAAATATTTAAAAGTGTTTAAATATTGCATGTAGTTCACAACTTGTTTGACAGCAGGTTGTATTTCTGCTCCTTCAGAAAGGCCTGCTGAAGCTCCTCTTGCTCCTAAAAATAAAACAGGTGTAATTATGAGGCAAATTATAATAACATGGTAGAATTTACACAAGCTACAAGAAAGTGAAAAACAAGTGGATGCAAAGATGCTCTATTAAAAAAATTAATTGTTTAATATTTTTTAAGGCCTTAAGGAAGAACTTAAAGGTAAATTCAGACCACAGATCCTGTGGCTGCAGGCTTTACAAACATGTTTACAGTGGATTTAAGAAAAGTAATCTGATCTCCTCCAGGGTGGATGTAGCCGTGAATATAAAGACCTTCAAATCAGCAAGGTGCAACATGCAACACTGAGGTGCAGTATCCATAATAATAAACTAAATGGAGATCCAGTAATATAAACTATATACTATTTACTAATGTTCTTAGAAAGAAAGATGGGAAAGATGTAATTCCTACATAAAAGGTGCAAGTGGGTGAATTTTACTGCTATTAAGACTCAATCTCTTTATTTTCTAATCTTTACAATATTATTATATTATCCTGTGTGAATATTTATTCTGCCGCTTTGTGCCATCTGAGCAGAAGGCCAAAAACACTTCAATCTCATAGTTTGCGCTCAGTGAAAGTTCCTGTTAGTTTACAGTTTGAGAACCTTTAAATGTGGTCGTTTATCGGAACATTAATTAGAGATCATAAGAAATGAAATCATTCTTTTTAGAGGATTTTTTAAAATCATTGTTACTGCACTGTTAAGTATCTCACCCTGTATGGAGGTCTTGAAACTCTGTATTATTTTCCTTTTTCTTTTTTTTAATGCATCATCTTCTCTTCTTATTTTCATGCAGAACAGAACTAAAGAACGTGCACCACAGTCTCTCCAAACCGCTGGACCCACATTGGATGATTTTGTTGGTAACCAGTTTACAGCAGAGCAAACAGCTAAAACCAGTTGATATGCACCACAGACATCCAGAGTCTCTCTTGTTCTGAAGGCTCAGTTACTCAGTTTTGTGCTTCCATTTGAATTATCAGGAATCCTTTTTCTGTCATGTTTGCTTAAAGAAAAGCGATTCAGTCTGTAAGAAATCCAACGTCTGTAATGGTTTTAATATCCTTTTTGTTGTGTGTTTGATTTTTTTCTCTGGGTGGAAATATGAGAATCAACTTTCACCGCTCGTCCTTAGGAGAAATAAACTGATTAAATAATTTTATTACTACCATTGTATGACCGTAAAAACAGCCTATAATATAAAACAAACTATATCCAGTTATTATCACCCCATCCAGCCATCAACTGCCGGGGTCAGGATTATTAAGCATGAGTGCAATATGGGGAAGGAATAATAATCAGCAGACTGCTCTGTAACAGTTGGATGATTCATGAGATGACTGGTTTTCTGCTAAAGCTGCGGCTCTGCCAAAAAAAACAAAGAGGAAAATGCAAATTGTTAATTTTTGAAACTTGGGAAGCATCAAGAACAGATTTTTTTGGTTTGTTTGTTTATTCTTTAAGTTCTACGTTAGTTCAGTTCTAAATTCATTATTATTATATAAGTGGCTCAA